CCCTTCATATTCAAAAACGAATATATCTGTCTAGTGGTGGTTTTCATGATTTTATTGTTGACACTGGCATATCAAGTCCATCATTTAGGTTGAGAAGTTGAAGTCATTAAATCCTGATGCTATAACTATGCCTACCGAAGTTTCCATTCCGAGTATTAGCGTTCATAAGCTTACCGTTCTTGGATGTTGTGATCAGTTAATCAGAGATGATAAATCCTTAATTACAAATTGTAAATTTCTCATCACTGACTGTGGACTGTCTATACTAGATCTAGAAAATTCAGAAATGTTTCAGGGTCGGATTTTCTTAGTGATCACTAGAAATGGTTCCAATGAAGTGCCTAATAACTTCCTAAATACGGAATCTAAGTGTGGAAACTTACACATGACTCCAAAGTCCATTCACTCTCATGTGCAAGTATGAAATGTCAAGACCTTGAGAACAAACATCAACTCTTTCACTGCTACAAAATTCAAAGACTTGGAGAGGATAGTACGGAATTGCCAGACCGAATGCAAAAGAAACAATGATGAAATTGCTTAAACAAAAAACACTTGTCTAAATAAGGGATCTTTACAGTCTCGCGATTTTACATACTGATTTGCCACAATCTACAAAAGTTCGGCAAAAAGTGGTTAATAAATCTGTGATTCGTATGCAAACCAGTCACAAAAACTGAATAAGTTACAAGAGCCCAGGTGAGTCATTTCCAGTTTCTGTAATTATTTTTAATACTATTGGGTACATTCTAGAATTTAAAGAGTCCTTACTCGACACGCAACCAGACGGGCACATGGTGAATCTAAGAAAACGTACAACAGATTGCAGAAATCTAGATTCCCATCTAGGTTGTGCCGGTTGTGACATTCGCACTAACCAGTGATTGATCGACTGATTGCAAGCTTATTACGAGTACCAGATATCATACGTCCAGTTGAGATCATCTAGTTCTACCTTCCTTAAATTGCACTATCTCGGGAATTCTTGGTCAGTACATTGATTTGGATACTTCTCATCATCATGTCTACACGGAGCTCTATATATCCTATGCCTATGTAGACCACAATTCCTATTAGTACTATTTTACAAGCTTATCAGGCGATTACAAATTATGGATTGTGTAAAACGTCAATATGATTCGTTAATTGACTACAATATAAATTATGGGTTTCTAATCAGTGCAAGTATTTAGAAGGATATAATGACCGACAAATGTTTGTCTTAGTATGGTGAAAAGTGCAGGAATATAATATTCACAAATAGAGCTATGTGCAATAAGAAGAAACTAATTATAGTTCGATCAAGTGCACTTGAAGGCAGTAAGCACGTGAGAAATAGACAGGGAGGGATGCGCATTAAAGTAGTGTTGGCGCTGTTTTGTGCTACTGTAACTTTATGGTCTAGTTCGATATTGGTACATTTGTCTTTTCTACTGTATAAATAGTCCTGTTCCCGAAAGTGTAGATGTTTCCTACGTGGAACTCACACTCTGGTCTACACTGACTCGTCCTATCGTGTCATACAGCAGTGATATTTAGCGCTTCGAAAGAACACATTGCGACTGGGTATAGAACACCATATTGGAAACAAGAAGTAAGAGGTTACATAGAATGACCATGCCTGCATGACTGGGCAATGCCATATCGATTAACTGTCCAAGCGTTCACCATTACTGACCTTCTCCAAGACCATACGCAGACCACATTGTTTGTGATACTCGTTATCTTCGTAATCGACGGCCAAGGACAGATGAATTAAATAAGGGCACGAATACAAATATTCTTGAATATACATTTTGGTAATTGAATTCACTAGCATTTACAGTACCAACGAACAATGAAAGTATGATCACATTGGGTGGGCACAACTGGAGTATAATAGTAGTAGTATTGGATCAACGCCAGAATTAATCCTCTCTGTAATTAAGTTAGATTTATATTGAAAACGGACTTTAGGATCACCAGCAGTTGTATTGGAATATAAATGAAACTGGTCATGGAATGTCCGAAAATTGTGTTTAGGTGAAATAAATCATGAACTGCATTGTACTGATCTATTCTTCATCGTATTGAAGTGCGTACAAATTATACAGATGTCAATTAGTTTTTCAAGTTTTACAGATCAATATAGCAACAAAACACGATCAATGGATAAACAGACAGACGACCAGACAAAAGAATATTGGCAAGAACCACGTATCGAACATTTGAATTGATCACATGGCTGAGCTTAAGTTAAAAAGTGGAATGGTAATATTGCATTTGGCATTCACATGCTCAGTTAGACACTATGCCAAAATGAACATATAATCATACTAATCTGGTATATTTGTATTCAATACGTTCCCATTCCATACAGAAGTTGCTGACACCCAGAATTCCAGTTGTTATGAGAAAAATGCACTCAATCATATTACAAGATATGCAAATCCACACATAACTACCGAACTGACTTAAACTAGTGCAGTTGAGGGTTTAGACTGGAGCCCATTGAGCATTACTAAAGCCCTAGACCTTTATCGAAACAAGAGCGAAAAGTCGATCGGCTCATCCCATCTATACACAACGATCTTAGATATTGGAGGCCAACAGAAACACAACCAGTGACAAAGAGGCCACAAACCGATATGACACTGACAACATAGTAGGACAGAAGAGGGCTGAACGAGATAGCATCCAGCGTGGGTTGTGGACACGACAGAACTGGCTCATATCCTGCCAGTGGCTAACTACATCAACTAGCAGACATGGTAATCATAGGCAAGTATAATATTGGCTGTTCGTTTGAATGACATGCCGTAAAAGCTAGCTAAAGGAGTTTCTGCAAATTTTTATGTTACCTTGGTGTTTGCTGAAATCACTAAAAATAAGCATTGGTGTTAGTGATCGCATGCAAACTTCTATTTTAAAACATGGGCATGTGTTTAGACGTCTTCTATGGGAGATAATGATAAATAACCAAAGTAAAATATGGCTGAGAAGACGCAAACGGACTGAAATAATAGTAGTATTTGGCTAACACCACAACTAAATCTCTTTTTAATTTGATCAGATTGATATTGATATTTATATTATCTGTAAACTGTACTACAACGGCAATAAAAGATCGAACTGTAGTAATGCAGTTGGCAGTTACATACCCAATAAGACATTTAAGAGAATGAGTAGACAATCATGTTCATCTAATATGTCTGTACTAAACGCTAGAGATTCTCTAATATCAACGTTGTAATGTTTACCTTTAAACATATTGTCTTAATACTCATTAGGTCAGTTCCTATCCTATACAAAGGAATTTTGTGGAATAATGAAGCAAGTTATTTCTTTATGAAAGCTTAATATACTAATACAACTGAATCTACTGTCTTTGCTTAACAGACGTTAACCAGAATATTGTAAACCAGTGTTCATGAATTAATAATGTGACTTCTATCTCAGAGATTACAATGAATGTACTGCCCTTCTTATGACTTTTAATTATCTCTCTAGATGTGGCTACGTATTTCCATGTCTAGTGAAAGTGTTGACAAACCATTGATGAATTATCTTAGACAGTAAAAACCTAGCTGGTAAGCAGATGTATTTTACGCCTTATGGCACAGATTTAGTACATACAAATCCGCAAAGCTGCACACCACTCAAATATTGCTAACCTTAGGTAACACGAGTGTGACTGATTACTACCGGTCGTTTTAGTACACACTGTAGACTTGCCATATACGACAACACGAAAAACTGTCTTTGGCTTCTGCTTTCTTCGGCAATATAGGCCTACGTTTCCATGTTGGTGAAAATATGAAAAGAAGTAATAAGGAATTGTTGAATATTTTATTAGAATTTTGTCATTGTAAAACGTACATTCAGTTGCACGTTATCCTGAAATATGTTTATATGATTCAGCTTCCCTGAGAGCTCTCTGTGATATGACGGGATGAAAAAACAAAACTACATTATTTTACTCATCATGACTTTCATTCAACATAACTTCATTAAATTTAATGCTATAACTATTCAGTGCAGTAGTTGTTTTGTATTACAGAATGATATTTTATACGGTATGGCACTAATTTATTTGAGTGTGATGTTTGTTCAAGATAAGATATTATTGTATTACATTAACATGAACGACACGGCATGATATGCAACATGTGGTTTGCCATAAACCTGTGTATTTTTCATATCTGTGAATTCATCACAATTAATGATTAAAATGGGTGTACAACCAATATATAAATGAGTGCATTCATGATGGCATTGGGACCTAAGCATACAGTCCTCAAAGCTGAAAACGAGACGACTGGGAAAATAGATATTCAACAATTAACGCGAAGAAAAACCCAGGAGGAATTAATTCAATTAATCAGATGGTATGGCTCAGCCTTGTAGGCGTGGTCATTCTCTATGACTTGTATTTACTCATACTAAATATATTGTTCTATCTCCAGCCTAAGTGTGTTCTTCATCATATACTGGTGATTGTACTATAGGATGGGTCAGTGTAGAAAATAATGTGATTCCCATGTGAGATCTCATGGATTAGGCAGTTATATCATAACAAATCTATAATTTTAGGATTAGGTCTACTATTAAAGCAGTACTAATAACGAAGTAGACCATAATTATACATTGGTAAGCCCGACTAAAGAAACACAGCCAGTTAATAATCTTCAATTTTACTATTTTTGATCGATTATTTACCATGTTAACCCATTAATCTATTGGTCCTCTGATTAATGCTCACGCGTATCATCGAAATGTTATACTGATTAGTACTCAAAACTTACTAGTTCAATCAATACTAATAACTGGTCATCTGGAGCTACGATGGTTTATTAACAAGCTTTAGTAGCATTTACATGCTCCAGCGAAATAAGCTTGGTAAAACATCAAGCTCTAGCAAAAATGGCCTTTCGACAACGTAAATAGACATTGGCTAGCGATGCGAGCAAGAACTGAATGGTCATCTTCATTTAATTCTTCATATTGTTTCTTCGCTTAACGTTTCACTGTTCCAAACTATGGATTATCCTGTAATATCTTTCCTTCCGACCACTGTCTGCCTAATTTCCCATTCTTGAGTTCCATTGACAAACAACGAAGAAAATACTTCAGAAACATACGGTGAATTTAAGCTAAACATTTTCTGCAATTATAAGGTCATTTTAGATGGTTCATACAATGACAGCCAATTAATTATCTGGACTCATTCATTTAAGTCTAATGAATAATCTAAATTCCGAAAATAATCCAGGTGAGTTCAAATATTTTGCTGGATGATTTACTGTTCTTGTACTTATATTTTCACTCAGAATATATATATTACATACAAACCACTCCCAAAGTGATTCTGGTACAATATGTATTTAATTAAAAAGTGTAACAGAGTAGTCTTCTTTACCTGAAAGGTAGACAGAAACATACGACACATCTTTAGTGACTGTGATATCTGACTTGAATTAGATCGTTTTAGATTGTTATGGAAACATACACGTCGTCAATCCACACATATAATTGTCGAATTAAGTCGCACTGGTAAATGACGGAATTAAGTACAAGAATGAGGGCTTGAATACGTATATTTTGGTGCAATCGTTAATTGAGACAGACAGTCAGAGAGATGTAGCGAAAGAAGCGAATAGGAGGGAGAGAAGCGAAGCGGATCGGAGGAGACGTGTTAGCCAACTCGGTTTAACCAAGGGTTAATCGATATGTATAGTCCGACAAAAATTAGTACAGCCATGTGATGAGTAAGATAATGCACACACATACGCTTATGCAAAGAAGTCAAGATTGATAAGCGAGTAATAGATAGGGTCAAAATGTGACTCAAGAAGAATGAATAAATTGGTTTCTCCGGATCCGGAGAGCTAGAATATGCTATGTGGGCTTGATATAGTGACCGATACTACACACTTATCTACGAGTCATTCGGCGTTTTCTGAAATAAAGAAGTCCCCTAAAGATACACTACCAATCCAAGCTAGTCTACAAAAACGCCACAGACCCGAAATGTTCTAAATATGGGATGATCACCTTGAAACAAGCCGTTCAAGGTCGCTGAAACAGAATAGAGGTCATTTTAAGCCACTATCTGCTTATGGTTCCAATCCCGCTGCTTGTACCCAATCATTTGCATAGACTTCCTCCAATTACCCAGTGGTCACCGTTTAATGTAACCGGTTTGATTCTTTTTATCTGTCCTGCTAGAATTAAATCCCGGGATTTAATTTAACTATAGTTATAAGATTTTAGGGCGAGACTCTAATTTAAGGACGACCTTTGAACGAATCTTAAGTGACCTTGACAATTATTAGCCAATCAGAAGACAGTATAAAGTGAGAATATATTGTAAGTAATGAATTACAGTGGATATTCTTCTTTTACATGATTTAAAAACTTGTCGAGGTTTGATAAAGACTCAGAAGTTCTGAATTCATAATGCATATTGTATAGAAACTCGTCCATAGGGTTAGTGGTTAGGGTTGTAGCCTGTAAGTGGACAAATCTCTAAAATTCGATGTGAACCGATCGCATGTTAGCACCCTCATCCTAACCCTAAACCTTAATCTAACCCTAACCTTAACCTAACCCTAATCTAACCCTAACCCTAAATCCTAATCTAACCCTAACCTTAACCCTTATCTAACCCTAACCAAACCTAACCCCAAACCCTAATCTAACCCAAAAACCCTAACGTTAGCCCTAAACACTAAACTTAACTTAACCCTAAACCCTAACCTTAGCCCTAAACCCTAATCTAACCCTAACCCTTAACCCTAATTTTAACCCCGAACCCTAACCCTATGGACGAGTTTCTATACAATATGCATTATGAATTCAGAACTTCTGAGTCTTTATCAAACCTCAACAAGTTTTTAAATCATGTAAAAGAAGAATATCCACTGTAATTCATTACTTTCTTGTAATATATTTTTACTTCATACTGTCTTCTGATTGGCTAATAATTGAAATTGCTCAAACGCTTCTCATTGGCTCGTCCCTAAAATAGAGTTTCGCCGTCCCATCTATTGTAACCTCTCATTAATCACCTACTCTCTAAAATCCGCTGTGAACCGATCGTATGTTAGCAGCGCGTGTTGAACTTGGCTCCGTGACCTTGAAATTGCTCAAACGCTTCTGATTGGCTCGTCCCTAAATTAGAGTCTCGCCGATTTTAGCCATCATAAATCATTTGCAACAGAGGTTTGTAGTTCAATGTTGGAACATGAATCGTGGGTTTGCCAATCAAAATCATCTATATTCCTTCTCGTATTCGGTCCTATCTTATTATACTTGATCACGTCTGATAGTTTAATAGTTTAAGCGGGTTCTCAGAATCCACTATCACATGGTTTATTGACTAATATGAACTGCTTCTAATTTTAAGGTATTACATACTTATCGCAGAGTTTGATACTCGAGTTGAAAAGTTGCTGTGGGATTAGATAAGTGACGTCTTCTACAAAGTGCAAATAAAGAGGCTAATGGCAGATTTTATACAGTTATTGTTGACAGTAATAAATTATAGAGTTCCATTTTAGAACCATTTTCGCGCTAATATTGTCTTACATACTATATCAATGTCTGCAAAATGTTCCTTATGTCATCGGAAAACCCTGCAAAATGTTGGAAATTCATTTACATTCACTGTAAATTCACAAATATTCAGTTTTTGCCATTCTGTAAAATCGATCATAAAATCCTAGTCCATAATGAAGTGGGACCTGAATGCTCCGTGTTTAAGCGTCACTTCTGTACAAATTTCACGCCTTTTCAGATTTTTCTTCATTCAGTAACTACTAGGTTTGTTAAGCTTAACATGCCATATGCTGACTTTATTTTTGTTATCTTTACTTAGTACGTGTCTATTTATCTCACAAATGTTTTATTAGATCGCTTTCTGAATCCGGTTTAAAAGTTATTATTTATATGGCATATTCTGACGAAGACCAAAGTGCCTATCTAAAGGATGTCTTCAAATTTTACAAACACTTAAACTATACACATGATGTTCGCGAACAAATACGGAGATACACTGACTCAACTTTCAAGGTATTCAAATAGTCGAATCATTCTCGGTAACAGGAAGCAGTATTCACTAGGTTGCCGAATTCACGCTCAGATTGTTCAGTGCAGACTATACCAACCGAAGGTGGGTTTATACCATATACATTTATGTAATCAAACAGATTTTTTCATAATAAAGAACTTCTTCAGTCCAATTGAAATTAAAGATTTATGACTTGCTGCACTGACAGAATGGTGTCACTCGCCGACGGCTCAATGTAATTTGAGCACAAATGTGTCTCATAATAATCGTATGTTATTCATTTTCACAACTTATGCGATAGGGATTACTTGTACTGATCCATGGTATTCTAAACTCCGTTGGATAACTTTAGGCTATCACTATCAGTGGAGCGAAAGAGTAAGTTTTTGTTTTATCATTGTCATATCTGTTTACGATAAATACGGCTTTTAAATACTAAAGTGTTAGATGTTTACAGTATTTCTTGTTTAGTCTTCGGTTCATTGAATAGGACTTTTCTCTGAGATTGTCTGCTGAAGAAGAAAGTTCATAAAAAGTTTATTAACATCTTGAGGGCTCTGTATCCAAATAACTCAGACAGTGAACGTATCCAACCACCTCACTACATTTTAACCCACATTTAATATAGGGTGGGTTGATAGATCGCATCACTACTTTTCAATTTTACTACCGATAATATTCTGAAAATAACTCTTAGGGAAGCGCACAATGGTTTTGGTGTAGACCTGTCACCTGGAGAAAGACTTTGGGATCTTGTGTACGCAGATGACATTGTCTCACTGTACAATAATATGCTAGTTATACGGTCGGCATATACTTTATATTTTCTAAGTGCAAAAGAATTTTGCAAACTGTCAGAAGCCTGTGTTCCCACTTACTCTTTGTGGTGATCCGTTAAAAATAGTTGAAAACTCATATATTTGGTTAGTTATATTAGTGCTGGTGGTAGCATGTCAGTGAAAAGGTCATAGTTAAATATACTAACCTAGACTATCCTAAGGGCCGTTATGATTTTAGTCTGCCTGCAAAAGGTCTTCTCTTGAAACACTGACTTCGGTGACTTGGTCGTGTTACATGAGTGTCTTCCCTGAGGCTCCTACATCGCGCATCGCTTTCGGACGCTGGGGCTAAATGAAAAAAGCCTAGGCGTTGTCAGCTTATGACACGGTGCCATATTATGAAAGATAACTGCACTAGACAGGCTCCTCTTGATCCATGACAACTTCACGGTCTAGTCACCAGAGGTCGTGCAACTCCTTTGCTTAAGAAATAAGCAAATATGACCCAGCATAGGTACCAGTGGCCATCATGTTACAGTTTCACCACGTTTTTCATAAGATTGAGGTGGACTTCCTCATCTGGAAGAAGCATTACTTAACCGTCACCTTAACTAAACAGTACATTTTACCAAATGCTGTTTTTTCATTTATTTATTGTATTCTTATTCCCTCTATTTCTTCGTAATGTCACTTCATCCTGGTGGCGCACTTTCTGGCTACTTTATTGTACCAGAACGTTTTAAGTAAATAAATAACTCCGCTGTTCTGTGTAAAGTAATATTGGGCCAAGTAAAATATTATAAAGTGGTTGCTTAATGGTTAAGACGTTCAAATTTTGATCACAAAGACCCAGGTTCAAACTCCGCCCTTTCTACCACTGTTCGAGTAATCGGGTAGTATCGTTAGCTATCATACTTCGTCTGTAGATCATAATTAATTACGTGGTGGACGAGTTGGTCTAATTTTAACTACGAAGCCATTGGTTGTTGACCTAATTCATGTTTATAATCTGGAGCTTCTTACATATTCTTGCTATTTATAATTGTGACATCTCGAACCGGCGTTAGATTATACAAAATCACAGATTATCTTGACAACCTCCAAAACTATTCTTTGTTTACTTTTGTTTGATCATCCCCATTTCCGTTTACTTTGTCTTCTGTCATTCGACATATTATTCAGTCGAATCCCAATACTACCAAAGTTCTTTATGTAGTCCAGCTTGTCTATAATATCACCTAATTCAAGCAACTAATTCTTTTAAGTTCTGCATTTTTACTCTTTTTAAAAAAATGTGAATGGTTTCAATTTGTGAAGTAGTGTTTTAAACTTCCTGAAATTTGTCTTCTAAATTAAATATCTAATAAGCTAATATTAGTATTTTACAGTTCAGTTTGAGCAGTAACATATATGTCTATATATTCCTGTCATCTTTCTAAAGATTTTAGTGGGCCTTCGTGAATATAAATTTATTTATATTTACGATACAAAAACGTAGTACATTGAAAGCTCCAGGCAATGAACTAAATGACATAAAATTATTGCTGAAAAATATAAAAGTGATTATATCTGATTGATCACGAGTGACTGAAAACAGTCAATTTTTGCGATGACACCACAGAACAAACATGGTTCTATTAGCATTTTCCAACTCATCATGTCTCCAGAGATAGGGTTGAGAGGTCCCTAGAGATTTTGCAACTCAGTCATTGCAGATGTTATTAAAATTAGATCAGAAGAAGACCCAGTAATACTACTTCTGTAACGCTTTAATTGTCTAGTTATTAAAATAATACAAACTGTTTGTATTATGTAACTTACCCTGTTTCATTTGAAAGAAACCTGTCACTATGGTGTCTGGGCAAGTTAAGTTGTTTTGTAACGACAGGGTATAGAACCAAATGTTCTGCAGCTATGAGTTGATAAGCATGCTACGTCGAGAAGACAAATATTGTTTCCCAAGCTGTCACTTAAGCTAATCAATGTAGGGCTAGCACTCCCACAGGCGATTGGCTAGGGATACACTGGATGTTGCGGAATTTTTTGAAACGATGACCTAGTGGCTAAAACAGTTGTTTCTCAACCATTTATCTGAACACATAAATATTGATGCAAGGAGGCACCGTACACATATGCGCCACACTCAACCACTAAGTCCCACATACGATCCTCGCTTCACCTACTTTGGCATGGGTGACCAGGTAGTATTACTATCTTTTACACTCAGAGTGTGGCTCATACCCAGTCGCCTGGTGAATGAGTCAATTAAATCATACCAAACTCACACAAACTATGTAAAATAAAGCCGAATATATAAACATGTACTTGGTAAAACAGCTATATTGAAGACCCTAAAGTTCTTTAAATTTAAATAATTTCATATCAAAAATGGTCATTCATATTTAACAGAAACATTTTAAAACCATAGTTTCGATCGGTTTCCAAATATCTTCTAAAAACAACTCCCCTACATTATCATATTAATTGTTGTCGCTTAAACAGTTAACTCTTTCATATTTAGAGTTTACTGTCCAACATGAAATTTGATTGGAATCTTGACATTTTTAATACAGCAGTATTTCATACCAGCTAAAAAATTTCCCCAATACTATGTTCAGATTTACAATGAATCTAAAGTTGGTGAATTTCCATCGTTGCTGTATGGGACTACAATAAACATTATCAACTTCCTTAAGCATTTAATTGAAGAAGGAGAGATTTCTTCTAGGAATTCATCTCGTCTGTTGGAACAGTGCCGAAATTACACTCCAGAAGCGTCAATTGTGAACTATTATCGAACAAAAACAACCATGGGCTTCCATTCTGATGATGCAGAAATAGATAAGGAAGCTCCTTTGGTTTCGATTAGGTAAGTGTAGAAGTACTTCAGTATGTTTAGCAATTTTAGATTGGTTAGGTGTGTTTCGTGTGCTATATAATTGTTGGCTCCTATTAGACTGTCAGAAATATATTTTAAGACTAGGCAGGACGAACTCCTTCCCCACAGCGGCTGTCAACTTGGTGATACAAATTTAAAAAAATGAAATCATACATCTTTGGTGCATATTAATAGGAGTTGTGTTGAAATCATCCCTTGATAATGGGAGGTCAGTGTGTTCATGCATAAGTTGTATGGTTTCCGCCAGTAAGATTGTGTTAAACAATAATGACATCAAACTAAACTATAAATTGATCAGTAAAGTTAATATTTTACTAGTGCTTGAGCAAATTGAAATATCTTTCATGCTGCAGGCAACTGACTTTAACCGAATCGGTTATAACTGTTCTACTAACCAACAGGCGAATATATTAAGCTAACAACTAAACACTGACGATACCAAAAGGAAATTTACAGTCGACTTTGTTTCAAATTCATGTGTATCATACCAACGACTTTTCTTAAGGTTTCGTTATACCTCTCGCTTGTTCGTCTTGTGTGAATTTCACCTTGTATCGTAGACCATTGTAACTTTTTTACTCGAACTGTTAGTCAGCTGTCAACAATACGCTTGCTCTTGAATAACTTGACAGTACGTTTGATTTTTCAAAATTAGTTTACAAGATGGATGAACTTTAGCTAGACAATCAAGAAGTACTAAACAACTGTCCTTTCCTAGCACGAGACCGAGCAGTGTTCACATAGAGTTGTTAGAGATAGGACCGTAAAAGTTCCAGCTGTACGTAGTCTTTAGACTGCTAACCATGTATTAAACAGTACATATCTCTAGTTCCAGGAAAGTAGGAAACTACTAGATCCATTTAGTCTCCGTAATGCCTAATTAAGTTGGGAGATTCGCTCATTCTTAGGATGCCAAATTTTGAATACAGGATTACGTGGGAAAATCTGTTTATCCCAAAAGCACACTATTATTCCGGGATAGTATAGTTCCAAAATAACTTTCACTCCGTTCAATATTTTGATAACTTATTCTTCAATATGAGATGTGTGTCAAAGTTTTTCCTTTTTACCGCTGGTTGTTTGCTTATCGATTCAGTTATATGCAGTGAGGCGCATCATAGTATTGGATAAAAACTACCATTAGAACGGCCATATCTTCATGATTGCTAACATTCTCATTAGATAGGTATTATTACCATGGTTTGGCTTGATAATTTCCAATAAATTTAGCATGGGGTATATTGTTATAAATAAATAATGTATTTGTAATATCCAAATGAGTAGAAAATCTAATTTTTCTACTCATTGGGATATTACAAATATATTACTTATTTATTCTCATTAGATGCATTATTATTTCTCATTCAGTCAGAGCACAGATCATAGTTGAAGCTCTTATCTAAAAATTGTTGTGTAGAGGACTTTCTGGGTTATCCATTTTTATAATCGTTGTTTGAGATAAATACTTGAACGATTGCTTCTGTAAACATCTGTCTTTCAAAGAATAATCACGTTTATTGTTACCTTTTGCAGCGTTGGACCCACTGCATTATTCTTACTAGAAACATCAGAAGCCATCAAGCATGAATTCGACGTTTCATTGCATGGGAGTTTTAACCGAGCAGTTGACTATGACCACGTACTACCGATTTACCTTTGTCATGGTGATGTAGTAATAATGGCTGGTAAAAGTCGTCTGGCTCGTCATGCAGTCCCAGTAATTTTCTTCGATGATGATACAGAGGTTGTGTCGAAAGGAGCTCTTCGTGTTAGTCATGATATTTGTGAAAAAATTTTAAAGCAAGATCATAATGATGATGCGTGTACACACTGCCAAGAGTGTCTGACATATATTAGGACTACACGTATAAATATGAATATACGCCAAGTAATGCCTGTTCATAGATAACGCGAATGTTGATATTGTTTTATTTTTCAATTGTTCAGTAAATTTTACTATACGATACATTTTTAGTACTACAATAAATACCTTGTCTTTCGAAAAGCGTCAACTACTTCTTAAATCTAGTCTAGCGATTCTGTATCGTTATTTATTTTATGCTGTGTTTCAAGAGATTACGAGTTCACCTAATCTGCGAACGGGACGAAGACTCAGTTTCACAACGACCAAATAAGTTAACTATTCCGATGCATCCCAGTCTCGCTAACTAAAGGGAGGAGTCCAGGGGAATGTATTCCACAAGCAGTCAGAAGCCCGAACAACAAGCACAACTTAAACGCATATATACAGCATAAAAAATATCCTTGGGAAACGTTACAAAATAGCATATGAAGAGACAACGAACCAGTGTGGGAAATGAAAATGGAATGAGCGCTTTTGGCGCGAAAAAACTCAATATATATATATATATATATATTTACCTCGAGTTCTAGAGATCTAACATCGCCAACATTTTATCAACCCACCGCTTTAATAAACATACTTTTGCGACAAAATGTGTTCTTTGAAATGAATCTCACACATTTTACGGTTTATTTTCTTAGCGTCACTGTCCATATGCAGTGTTTACTCCAATTCATATGTATTCGATATTAGGTTTGAATGTAAGCTTATCTACACATAATTATAATAAACTGTGATATAACCTACTTAGTATTATTTTATAGTGCGTGCTGAACTGCTTATGCTTATCAATTGCAAATAGGTTTGGTCGGCTGTTTATATCCAAAACCTTTACTACAAATCATATAGTTTGGGATAACTTAGTACAAGTATGCAAAATATTATATTGAGGAATCACCAAGATAGAAATAAAATGTGTAAATTTTAATAGTATTATTGTACAGTTTCTGATTAATATACAAGATAAATTACACAACTAAAAAATCGGCTCCGAAAAATAATCCCAAAACTTAATGAGTATTATACTCGAAAATAAGGACCATTTGTGGTACGGCTTAGCATAGCCTCATTCTGTATTCTTGATGATGCTTCCGGGGCTAAACGATTTAATAACGGACGAATGGATGGTTCAAGTGCGATTATAGCTCCTGAAATAATAGACAATAAGTGAAATGTGATTAGATAAAAAGTTGTTGCACGAATGGGATTACGTCCGAAATCATAGTTTTATACGATCATTTAGCAGTGCGATGTATTTTATTTATTACATTTAAAAGTCTTTTGATATTATATGTTAACTAGACAGTTGTTTTTCAACTGATTTAGGACAGCTTACACTAGATAATCTTTGGGCAAGGATTGTGAAGCTTTTGGGACACAGTTACAACTTGTATAGATAACTCAACAAGTAACAAACGGATGTCGCGTCTTGTTTAGATCATCACCCGTCTAACATAAACCCAGTAATCTAGGTGGTATATTCTGACATTATGGTACCAAAACTCAACTTATTTACTCTGCTTAGATAGAGTACAAAGACGAAGCCTTTGTACTAGCCGAATATTACCGATACCTCGGGAGATATAGGTAACCAAACATCCTCTATCTATCTTTATTACTCTAGTTCCATCACAAAACATTGCGTTGTACTTTTAGTTATCGACAGCCCTGTTGATATCAATCGACCTATTCATATTTACACCTAGATCGCTTCAGTAGCTGGCACAAAAGAGATAATAGTGAAGTCTAGTTTGTTAGCCATAAATAACATCCTAAAGGCCCCCAAGTGCCCTGGAGCGACTACGCGTGGGGAAAGCCAGCTCTCATATAGCCACGCATATACAGCCACTACTAGGGGAGTCCTACTCACTGCCTTTTCTCAACGATGTTGTTTACCAAATCAAGAGGATCAAAATTGGATGTCCGGTGCTTTAACCGGGTTGGTGGACACGGAGGTTCTATCTATGTAAGTTGGTAAACTTTGATTCCAAACCAATGGTTCACATGGACTCCAGGATTCTAAGATAGTGAATGGCATATGAACCAATCGTTGGTCACTGGCTACCATGGGACTGCACCTCCTAACGTTGCTCTACTGCGTTGTTTATATCTTTAGGTCAAAGGCTTTGGGTGTGGTCCCTTAAAAAGACCCACCTTCGGTTTGAGCATCCAGGCAGTATCACAGCCCTCACACAAATCAATGATAACTACTACTGGTCTTATTGTTATTGTGTGGCACATATGCATTTGGTGCCCTCTTGTACCAATGTTTATGTTGAAATAAATAAGTGACAACCTAATAATGAGTCATGTGAGATAGAACCTTTTAGCATAGTTACCGTCATTTGAGGTATTACCAAATGTAATATAATTATTAAGTAGACTTAACTGGTGTCATATGTAGAGTTATACAAAAAAACGATGCAATCGATAAGGGATTAAATTCTATAAATGAGATGGCTGGAATATGCTAACCCAACCTGTTCCTGTTTATTGGAGTGGGTTCAAGTTGGGTGAGGTATGAAAGGTGAGCAGATCGAGACTTACTACTAACGTTGAGACTGTTAGTATGAACTGCGTAGACTATAGTGTTTCTTGGTGAGAGTACAAGTGGTATGGTATTTCAGTGTTTGCGGACAACGGATTCCGTGGTTCAAAATTAGTCAAGACGTTGCAAATGTTTAACCCTTTCTTAGCATATAGTAATGCCGTCCTCAATATGCTTATTACGTTGTTATCGATCCTAAGCCACTCCTTGTTTGTAGTTTCTTTCAATCTTAATGTTATTAAATGCCAATACTTCTTCATATGACTCGTTAAATAAACATTAAGCATCATTTTACTTTATTGTAAACCCACCTATATTGCATTCACTGGAGCCAACAACCGTCAGAAATAATGGTAAAGCTGATTGGCATGTAAAATGAAACTGGCAGATCTAAAAATCGGGAAGTATTGATTACATACTAGCAAACGAGACATTCTAGACTATTAAAGTTGCGGTATTATTTTTTAACATGGGCTAATTAGTGTAGCAGTCTCATCTTAACGAGGTTATGCAAATGTGGATTACAACACAGTTCAATGGTCCCTGTAATTAGTGCGTTACACTGTGACAGTATGCGTGAGCATGTTTGCAACCGGTTAGGTAACCAGGATGTTATTTCTCAATGTGCAGTGGACAAAACACATGCACACGTTATCGTTAATTGATGTCTAGCAATAAGTACATACTTCAGTGATGAAGTGGCTTTGTAGTCTAACTAACAAAACTTTATTATATTATGAGTGACCACCACTTACTGATATGCCTCTGATTTTATACCTAACTTCACTTGATTTGAGCAGGTGGGCAGCAGGGTTGTTGTACGACAAGGCTTAAAGTCAAACAATTTGGGGATGCCATCAGGTAAAACAACTATCGTTTTTCAAAAGATTTATATCCTTTGAATTGGGCTCCCAAAGAGTAGCTCGGCCCTAACAAAAAGCTATGATTTTGTGTGGTGCATACTATTGTGATCCCCAATTGTATCAGGTTCTCCATGAGCCAAACTATGTATATATCCTTCAAACACACTTTGACAAGATCTTTATATGCGGTTAGGGTGACGCAACGCACATCCTAGATACACATATACGCATTACATGAAACCGCCAAACTGGGTCTAACTGAATAGCAAAGTTTTTCCAGTGGACATACCACCATCTCTTGATAGCTAGTGATCATCCATTCTAAGTCTCCAAGATCTAGTTTGTTTACTTGTTGTAATGATACGATAAAAGCAGCAGTAACATATGGTGAGCGTGCTTGATCAGGCATATCATCCATTGTGGCTAGGAAATAACATTGATGATAAAATTAAGTTTACCACTTGCAACAACGACTCCGTCTTTATCCGCAACAAAGATACCGAGGATCCCATCAACTCTATTTATATGGTCAAATAAACAAAAAACTCACTCAGACAGAAACCTTTTAAGATAGTCACAAGCAGACTATTGGATTAGATTGGAAGAGAGTTATTAACTAACCTCAGACATCCGCGACGTTAAAATCAATTTCTGTTGTTTTCAGCGGTGAGAGATACTGCGGCCGAGTTATGTTTAGAACGTCATAGACACTGGGATGTACCGCGCAACCTGTGTTTCGCGCTATTGAATAAGGATAATGTTCAAGTGGTTGTGGACGAAACAGAAGAAGCTTTCGCTTAACGGGCTTCCGTGTCTAGTAGCAGTGGATCGCAAATACACAGACAAACATAACATCGACTAGTTGAAACACTGTCTCTAATTTGCTTGCGCCTTCAATAGTTCTATAGTTGGGAGGAATGTGTACATGACCTGAATGAATACCAACGATTAAGAGAAGTAAAAATTTCATAAGCTCCGATGAAATGCACTCATTACATTCACCAACGAAGTAGAAGAAATCGTAGTGAACGCTGGAGGCATTTATTTGTTGCTTCCAAATCTACAATCGTGTTACGAAAACCTACAACGCGCAGTACTTGCTAAGTAACCGTTCGGATATATGTGGGCAACAAGTACAAGTATCATTGTTATCAATTTAAATCCTGAGTAGCCTTGCGTGGTGAAGAGTATTCCATAAAAATCTTTGAGATGGTTCACACCCATCCGTGTTTTTTCAAAATTTACTATATGTGATCCGTTTGGCAGACGAATATTTGGTGACGAGAAGGAAAACTTGCCACCTTCATTGTAACAAATGCCCTCATTAGATAATGTGATGAAATGTGTGAAGGATGAGTTTAACAGAAAAACCACCACCTGGGTCGTAAATAACGAAGATTCTGGAATCGTTAACAGCGTGCAAGCTGGCTACTCTCGATAGGACAAAGTCAGTTTTTTTACATCAGAGTGTGGTGTAGGAGGGTTGTGTGCATATGAAGCCCTAATTAGATACTGTTTTGCAAGCGAACAAGAGATTAAAGCGTATAGAAGGTGTCCTGAAGTTGTATTTATCATTTAGCGTAACACGAACACGACAAGATTGTAATGTGTCCTTCTCGTGTGTTCAAGGCCATTCGTATGGAAATTAATTGAAAATGAATTGTGTGCTTATTCAGGCCTACACACTGTCGCCAAAGGTACATGTTCGTCAACTGGTGCAAACGGAAAACTCCAAGCAGTACAGTTCATTTTTAGTTTATTGTAAAGCCTTAGACACTACTCGCCTGTAGTTTTACACGTACATATGTATTTTGTCACAGGATTCAACCATATGCTGGATCATCCGTTAGCACTCGTGGAGTGCAGCCAGCGGTGATTATGGTGCAGCTCTTAGGAGTCAAATAAAGTACGATCCTTTTAGACGTTGCTTCAGATGGGCAGAAACCCTTGATAGAACTGAATTCAGGGTTGTCCTGTATGCCCTAAAGAAATTCTGGACGACCTTCGACGTGCCTTCATCTTGTGACTTGATGAGAGCTCTCTTGAAAGCATTAATAAACACTCAGCCTGACCTTTTGACTAGGGATAGTAGGGTGGTGACTGAACGTATATAAGAGCGTTTCCTGGGTAGAAGTTCAAGAGGATTTCCAACGTAAACTGAGGTCCTTTGACGTTATTTACTGTTTCCGAAAAAAACGAATTCCCTAGAAAGCCTATTCGGCACCTTAGTTCGTGATGTCTCTGAGGTTATAGGAACTAAGTAAATCTCCATTCATTATTTCAATGAGTTGATGATTGATTGGTCCAGTGAAATCATCATGAACACAGGATCATGATTTTTCTATACTTATCCGCGGGGGTATTTGTACTTTCGATGGCGATTTTATGGCTTGAGCACACCGTGGACAGTTCCCGACCAAACTTTCAATGTCCTTATCAATCAATACCCAATACATGTAGCTGCGTAACAGTGACTTCATGTGCTACATACCAGAGTGATTTTAGTGGAGTTGTTTTAACACTCTTCATAAGAGGGTTGTTAGGATGACCAGATGTTCCTTAATGATCAAACATGAAATTACAAGAAACGGTGCTTCACTTAGTGGGAAATACTCTATCAATTCATCATCAACTTAGTTTGCTCAAGCATTATACAAATAGTTCACGCCCTGTCGAGGTTCGCAATCAGATTCATAATCCGCTCCTAGCCACTACAGGATTACTGTCCGTCATGAGACAACCGTATTATTAAGCGGTGAAATTAGAGGCAAATTCGGTGAAGAGAAAGAACTAGTCACAAAAAGAAAGATAGCAGATTACTGAGATTGTGAAACAGAGGAACAAGTGTTCGGAGCGCCTTTTGCAATGGATCAGCCTCACTGAATTTATCGAACATCGAAGCAAAACAGCCCATCAACAGCAGAGGTAGTAACAGTATCAAATGTGATAGGAAAAATTAGGCATTCAAGATACGACTCTAAACGAAAACAAATTAGTGAGACAAGCACAAAAAACGTTATGAGGAAATTAGAATCTCAGGATTTGTAGGAAGACAAAGAATGAATGCACCTGCGCCACTGCAGACGATTTTGATTTACGCCATTCAAAGTCTCTAACCGTTAGCTACGACAATCACGGAGATCGCAACTCGATGGTCCGTACCTATTACCATGGCTATGGGGTGATCTTATCCGCAACGCAACCATGTAAACTTAATGTATCGCACACTGTCATTTGTGCGTTCAAGTAACCACAGATTTTGTCATTTCATAATGTATTTTTAATTAAATAACCAGATTATGTAGTTAATTTTTCTCTGTTTTTAATTTTTATTCGCCACGTCTTACTGCGTTACACTGTACGTCCATTGCACGCTGAGATGATATCTCAAGTCATAGTGAGTTTATTCACATAGTTGATTGTTTCCAGGTAGACTGTCAGTGCATGATTTTACTGAAGAAAGGTTTGTTGTACTGTAAACTGTGTTTCTATGATCAACTCCCTGTTGTCTTCAGTATGACTTCATACTGAATACTGCTTTAAAGCAGTATATATGTATCCTACTTTTTTTCTTAGGTAAGTTCAACTGGCCTATATTTCGTGTTTTGGTTTTATCGGCTTAATTATGTCCATTTACCTACACTGAGCAACATGTCTTTGCAAGTGAAACAATAACTATGACACTTGCTTAGTTTAGTGTTCTTGGTTGTCGTATAATTCAGTTTAGTTGAAAGAATTATGATATACTTAAGTATAGTGCTTGACGCCTGTAACGAAACAGATCAGTTTAGTAAGTAGAGTTGCCTGTTTCTAATGTGTATACGGATTCAGTTCAGTCTGATTAAAAATAGGAAAAAACGTGCCTTTGATGCTTTTGCTGTCATACATTATAAGATAGCGATAAGTATGTTTGGTGTTTATTTCTAAACTGTACATCCATCACTGACCATATTTCATGATCACTGTCATTAAACAATTTCCCCAGCAGTAACATCGGTAGCAAGATAGCTAAGTATCTGAACTTTTAGTTGCCCGCAAAACAGCAGTATACAGTCTTAGAAGATGTTCTGTGTCTCAATTAAATGCAGCTGGCTGTGGACAAATGTTAAAAATCTTTTTGACAACTGGGACTTTTAGTTTATCATACACTTACTCTGCTTGTATGTTTTCCTGTTAAACTAGACGCAGATGCATGGGAATACTTAAATGGGAGCAAAATAATAAAAGCATTGCAATACGGTACTAAGCCCATGTTATGCTTTGCGCAAGTAATAGTAGCTGACCTTATCTAATATTCATGAACTCAAGGTAAATCACAACTGCATAAATTCTTTGCTAAAAAACATGTGATTTGGTTGTTTATATATTCCACATTTCTGACTAAATTCATCACCATTTTTTCATTTAGAATGCAACAGGGGTGAGTCTTCACAGATCATAAGAACTGTTTCGCCCTTGTGATAAGCGAGCCTCTCAGAACCTAGTTCATGTGTTCAAATGGTTGTGGACTGAATAGAAGAAGCTTTCGCTTAACAGGCTTCCGTGCCTAGTAGCAGGGGATCACCAATACCTCAAGGCAGAAAACTAGGTATGTTAACAATAAAAGAGGAAAAAGAAATTGGTAAATCATAGTATGATACTATACTTAGTCCTTAAGAATAAACCCAGTTGCCTCTTAAAGAACTCCTGGGAAGTCGCTTGGACTAGCTCGGCCGGCAGAAAATTCCAGCATTTGACAACTCTTAAGGGATAGAAGTTGTGCCTACAGTCCGTTCTGCTATGTTGTCTCTAGTTTCTGGGTGTTACCCCTTAGGTTAGTGTTGGAACTAAGCTTAATTAGGTGTTTTAGGGGATGTCCAGAAGTGTTAAGGTTATTGTAAGCATTAGGTCACCTTTAAGACGTCTATACTGCAATGAGTATTGGTTAAGTGATTGAAGGCGCTCTTCATAAGATGATTTGGTGCATATCCTCGTCATTTCCTTGGGAGACCTACAGACTCGGGTCCTCTCATAGCTTATTCTAACCACCATGGGTTGTCACGCCAGCTGATGGATGGACACGCGTTACACATCCTAACCGTACCTGCGTCTTATCTTATAGCTTCTAATTCAAATGCCATATGACAAGCAAGCAATGCCCCAACCCGCACTAATGGAACACTATTAACTCAAATGCAGCCCGTATGGTACCTTACACTGGTTTACGCACTCGCTTAGCTCTTTAGTGAAAATCCCATGAACCCCCTACCTCCATCAAAACAAATAAGTCTGTATTTGCAGCATATAGCAAATTTATTATTCAAAAGTAAGATATAACAGTTAGAATTGGAGTAAAATGGCAGTATACACAGATGCACGTGGTACATGTCTTCATCGATTAACTGAAATAGAGAATATGGATATTAGATTAACAGCCTTATTCAGAAAGACTAGTGTCTAATTTGAACTTACTGCGTGAGAAAGTTATACTGGAACTACGAATGTTGTAGGAATAGAGTTTCTCGGGGCGTACGAAGCACTCAGACTGTAAGACAGTTGTCCAAAAATAATTCGAATATGAAGGTGGAAATTTGCAGGTACTTTTCATCATAAGGGTGAACATATTAGGTACCAGTTGACATCATACCGTAAGAAAACGCATATTTGCGAGTGGTGAAATATGATCTATAAAAAGTGAGCTTAATAACAGTTAATTACCTTTTTACACCCTGATCATGACCCTTTGGCTTCCTTTTATGGCC